AGTTATGCAAATTTGGTCAATACTAGTATGTTATATTTTAGTTTCACATGGAAAATTTTTCACGTTTCCACCACAAAAAGACAATGAAATCCACACAAAATACAAAAACATCAAAAATCGAAATCTGGTATAATGGAAATGGAGGTGGGAGATACATCAAAATGAAGAAATCTAAAGCAGGAGTTGCCAAATGTTTTTCTCTGGGGGCCATATTATCACTCCTGACTATGATGGGGGTCGAGTCAGCCGGATAACAGAATTGTATGATCCAGACCAAAATGACCATCAGCAGGCCTCACTGTGTAGTAGAAATGACGAGCTTGGTAAAGCCATCCACAATATTATATCAACACATAACTCCTGGCACCTATTTGTTTGTCGTTACTAGTGGTCTTTACTAATGTCCTTAACAAGTCCTTAACTCAGGGGTCTCCAACCTTTTTCTTCCAGTGAGCTACTTTTACAAAACGAAAATGCCAGAGAGCTCCACATTTTAGAGGTCACAAGAAATTGAGCATATATAAGAGCCATGGCAAGTCTTAAATGAGGAACAGTTAGATGCCTCTAAAACAAACCATTATCCATTTATTAGTGAACAAAGTTAGGCATCTAAATGATACGTGTACAATGGTAATAGGCATTTTATTAATCAAATTGTACTAATTCATATGTATGATTCAGAAATCCGTTGGCAAGCAGCTTGGAAGGGAGTGGAGAGCTACCGACAGCTCCCGAGCTACAGGTTGGAGGCCTCTGCCTTAACTGCACTACAGTCCTGCTGTCCTTATGTGCACTGCAGAGCTCTGCACGTGTGTTGACTGTCACTGTTTGATCTCGAGCTTGTCGTGACGAAAATTCAGCAGCAAATGTAAATACGTCATATCATTATTTAAACATAAATATAAATACTTAATATAAATATCATTTTTTTTAATTGAAAAATACAAGTTGCAGACGTGCTATTATTTATTATACATATTATTTAAAAAAAATAGGTCTTGACAACTTTCGAGGATTGCCTCATAGGGCCAGATCAAGTGGTGGGTGGCAAAGGGGCTGGGGGCCGCTCAAAGGGGCATGGCAGGCCGGAGTTGGCCCACGGGCCTTAGTTTGATGACCCCTGATCTAGAGAATATAGAAGACATATTGTGCTTTTGTCTCTTATATAGACTTTAGAATCATTTGGATGATTTCAGCCCTGGAATTGCCGATCTCTACAGAACTAAAGATAAAACTACCACTTCATGACATCACGAGATGGAACAGAGCATTTTGAGCTTTGGAGATGTAGGCAAACTAATAATAAAGCTTTACTTAAATGTGTGTGAATGAAACAAAACACAACTCCAGGTCTGTTTTTGATGAAGTACTAAAGTTCTAACATGAATAAAAGCTCCATTTTGCGTAACATGGAACCTTTAATAACGCTGATTTCCGGGTTAGAAAATTGCAGTGCCCCATGAGAGCTAATTCACATATTTTTTCAGGGCTTTTTTTCTTATTTTAAACACTAAAAATTCAACATTAATTTGCCTAATTTGTCCAGAAGCACAATGTAGAACTTGCCACATCAAAATCTCAAAGGGTCATCGTATCGCCATGGCAACAGAGATTCGTTGTATTGTTTCTCACTCTCATAATGGGCACTGTTAACATGCGTTGCACAATCTCTCGACTTCAAGTGAAACTGAAGATGGTGATGTCATGTTTTAGTCATTGTTTAAAAGACTATTGCAAAAAACACAAACTTTTGGAATCCTAATGGGGCTTAAGATTGGGCAATATCACAGTCCATCGGCGAAAAAAGGCTGAAATTCTTTTGTGGAATGACTTTGGTTTATTTAAAAAAAACAAACAGACAAACCCCCTTAAGTTTAAATCATGGGAACGAACGAAACGCTGGAACCGAAGCCTCTTTAACAATAGTCCCATTATCTGTAGCTTTACACCGCCTGGACTCATTTAGGAACTTCACTGTCATGGATTATTCCCAGATACTAATGTATACAAAAAAAATATACTCATTTGAACAGGTGTTGGTAAAGTTAAGAGCTTTCGTGAAGTTTGAGAATGTTTTATGTCTTCATGGAGATGTTACTGCTTTATCTGTTCCACAACAACAACGTTTACATGATGTTTTTTGAAGTCTGAATGAACTGTTCTGAATTAAATAGTTTGGAATTAAAATATTCTCGTTCGAGTTTACATGGAAATAATAATTCTGAATTGAGGTTTACATGGAAAACACATTAACACATCTTTATTTAATTCCGCTCAATGTCTGGGGGTCTGGAAGGGTTCTGATCGGACAGAGACACGAACATATTTATGTCGACCAGAAGTAAACACACACTTCAGCTGCTACCGGCTTTTCTGTCATCTCGGTTTGTCGTTACGCCACGGACACAAACACGATCCAAACTTTTCCCGCAGTGGTTCCGATGATAATTGCGCAGCAGCTGGAGAATTCTGTCATCAAGCTTTATGTCTGTCGGCTGAGGAGGAGAAGGGAAGAGCGTCGGAGAAGGGAGGAAGAAGACAAACTGAGTGTGAGGCTGTTCTACCTCAGCCCACTCCCACATCCCGCTTACAAATCCAAAGAGACGTGGATGAAAGCCCGAAGCCAGGATCGTCCGGATCACGTCAGAAGGGCAACACAACGAGTATGCTCTGAATGACCTAAATTTTATTTTTTTTCCCCATTAAAGTTTACTGGAAACAAAGGAGCAATATATATCGTACATTGACACAGCATTTCAATTATAGCCCCCTTTCTCCTTTTCTAAAAGTAAATAAAGTCACTGTACTTATATTAAATAATTAATCAAGCAAAGGAAAAAAGCTTGGTAATAGACCTCAATTATTTTTAAGAATTAACGTGTACATGATCAAGGAATAAATTTGTTCGGCTTTAAAATAAAATGAAACCACTCACTTCGGAATCAAGTTTAATTCCGAATAATCATTTTCATTATTCAGAATTAAGTGTTTACATGGTCTTTTTAAAGCGGAATTCATTCTTAGTCAGTTTTTTATTTGGAATTAAAGTTCTCATGTAAACGTGGCAAATGAGGCATTAAACATCTAATCTATCCATTTATCTAATTATTTTCTTGCTTTAAAAATACCCTAAATAAATTCTTAGTTTAATTGGGGTCACCAAAGATTTGACCAGCCTGTTGGTGTCACTTGCTTGTCTCCATGGAAATAGATTAGTTTAACGCCATACTGTGGGACATTCCAGGGAAAACCTACTGGGGGGTCTGCAGAAGGAAATTAGTCCTATAAATTAGACCATAATCTGTCAAAATGTTCGTTATGTACTTTTCATTGTTTTCTCTAGTTTCCTCGTCACAAACAGACCTAGAGTTGTGTTTCATGAACGCACAAACCCTGCATATTTAGGCTCAGTTCTTCTCTCAAACTAAAAGCACTCTGTTCCACCTTGTGATGTCATGTACATGTACATACAGGAAGTGCCCCGCTGTGTTTTTAAACTCCATACACGTTCACTGCAATCATTTGTATTCAGCCCTAGAACTTCAAAGGTGAACATCACAAGGTGGAGCAGGACATTTTGAGATTTGCTTTTAATAATAACGGATTACTCAAATATGTGTTAAAGAAACAAAACACAACTCCAGGCCTGTTTTTGAGGAAGTAACAACATTCTAACCAGAGTCCATTTTGCGTAATATAACGTATTTTCAGCACTTTAAGTCATTGAATGGTCTATTTTTAATCTTTTTTCACATATAAACCACACCGGACTATAAGGCACATTAAACGAAACACAACAGTTAGACAAGTCAGTCACACTTTATTTAACGCGTTCAAAATAACTCAACTTTGTTCAATTGTAACGCGATTGTAACGCATCCCTCTCGTCATTATCCGAGTCAGTGTGGTTACTGTTCCCTGGCAGTTCAGTGATGATTCTGGTCTTGGTGAGAGCTCGGACCACAGTTGATACTGATCCTTAGCCCAGGCGTCCACGATCCGTTGGCAGATCGTGGCGTAAGTCGCTCGGCGCTGTCTCCCTGTCTTGGTGAATGTTTGTTCTTCTCTCATCCACTGCTCCCACGCAGCTCACACTTTCACTTTATAAAGTCAGTGTTGTAAGTGTGTCTCTTGACAGTGGCATTTTGATATTAAAAGGAATCACAGTACGTACTACTCCACGATGCTCCTGACTACAGTAGCCGTAATGCTGCAAGTGGTGCGGCTTTGGAGTTTACTAAAGTCGTACTAAGACACCCCAATAAATTAATATAGAAGGTGCTCTGGATTATAAGGCGCACAGTCATTTTTTGTTTTAAATGCTTTTAAGTGCTCCCTATAGTGTGGAAAATACAGTGTGACCATTAATACATAAATAAGTAGTGCTCCTTTAATAATATATATTTTTTAAAGAAATAGCAATAATAATATTTTGTGATGAACATTACATCGGGACAGAGGACAACAAACATCATCACTGGATTAAAGAGGCAATCGAAATATGGAAACGTGCCCATGAGACTACAAACTGAGACGAGGGGCTTTTTTACTCTTGCACACCTGGGATCCTGTCCTGAGGAAGTGGGACTGCAGGTGGCGCTGTCGTCCTGCCTCCACCGGTAGGAAGACAGCACCAAAACCTGTTTAAATCATCTGACCAGACATGTCACAGCAACATCACGAGACTCCGAGAATGACCGCAGGGAGCAAAAACTGTCAAGTATGAAAACAAACTCTGAAAAAGTCTGAAAAAAGAACCTAATAACATTAAATTGTATTGCTCTTGTGGGATCAAAATAACCATAATAATCATACTAAGCTCAGTACTGAAGTTTGAATTTCAAGTATCGTGACAGCACTAATGGATTGGACATGGTTGGAGTGATGCAACCTGTGTTTTCTTGTGTTAAATTTCAAGCCCTTTTCCTCGAAGGAGAAAGGGATTGTGGGAAGGCAGAGGAGGAAACCAGCTCCAGATGGGGAGAGCCTGGAGGACTTACGGTTGGCAGAGTTTCACCAGGTCTTGGTCTGTGGTCCCTGGATGGAGCCCGCGGATGTACAGGTTAGTCTTACTCAGCTGTTCCCCGCCCCCTCCGCTGCTGTTACTGCTGCTGTTCGTGTTGGGACTGGGGGGCGCCATCTGGTGGCCGGAGGACACATAGGACTGCTGCGGGAGAGACAAGCAGACAAAAGTATGTTAACGTCAGTGATGTTAAGGTCATGATTTTAAAGGAACATTTAGAGGCATTGTTTCAGATTTTTCATTTACCGTATTTTTTGGACAATAAGTCACACTTTTTTATGGTTTGGGTGTTTCCTGCAACTTATACTCTGGTGCAACTTATATATTAACATTTTCATACTGACGAGAGGCTCTAGTCTTGTGTGTGAGTATCTGCTGCTTCTGTTCCTCCTGTACTACTGTCACTTCACTCTACTGCACATGTCTCCTGCAGAAAGAGCCTCTGTTCTGTCTGTATCATGTCAGTCGATCGCACCATTACTTCTGTACCACTGAAAATCTAACATTTAAACAAACCTATAAAGACGACTGATAAGACTGAACATAAATGCCCCAAAAAAGAAAATCATATTTTGCAGATTACAAAAATGAAAGTACCAAAATCTGCATCTGAAAACGGTAATCGAGGAGCAGAAAGTTTGGAGTGAGCGAGACACTTGTGACACCAGGAGGATGCACCATGAAACTTTCCTGAAGTCACTGGATGGATGGACAAAGCCTGAACTTCAGTGACATCGAAACCATCCTGTCGGGATTCAGAAAGACACGAATAATTCTAACTGGAACTGATGCTGAGTCTGACGACAGTGACACAGAAGAGGAAGAGGCGCTCTGTTTAGAGCCACATCACCCCATTTGAGATTATAATGTGTTTAATGCATCTTTGCGCAAGTCTTACAGAAATGAAACTTAAAACTGCATGGCTAATTTGCATAAACTAGGCAGAGAGAAAAAGAAAAAAAAAAAACACGCTCTTGTGCGCTGATGCGGTTCAGCTTCTGTCAGACTAACGGACACGATCTCAGTGGAATGTAGATGTTCTTTCTGTGACAAAGGGATGCTGATGCTGAAGGTGAGTCTGTTCTTGTGAGTCGCGATGTTTTCAAAGATCGTACGTGTGCAAGTTTGGCGCAGCTCACATACGGCGTGTACATGCACCATGACGAAACTGGGATACAGATGTACATGTAAAAACACTCACTGAGTGGTACAGTGATCTCCAAGGAGGTGCCAGAGCCAAAACGTGGGACTGAGGTCGCAACTCCTGTGTTTGTGCTGTCAGACGCAGCTTCATATCTACGCACAGAAACCTACATTCAGTTGTCGATTAGAAATGAACGTAATCGACAAAATTCTTAATGATCAACTATCGATTAGTCGACTAATCATGCCCATCCCTAGTTCATATGTGATGTTAGCAGTCTGTTCTCTGTTCTATTGTTATTACTAGAACTTGACTTGCAACATGAAATATCGGTTCCTGGTCTCTGATTTTATAAAATAAATTTCCCCCCAGAAGTGTGACTTATAGTCCGGAGTGACTTATAGTCCAAAAAATACGGTATTTGTTCATAATGTGTCTTGTCCCAGTACAAATATATTGTATAAGCAGCTCTTGGGTTCAGAATAAGACTGCTGTGTATTGTCTGCGTGCAATCATAAAGCGTTTTATTATCAGAAAGTACGCGTGTCATGGTTAAGCGCTTAAGCGGTGAATCATTTGGATGCTCTGAGTGCATAAGGTAAGTGAGGAATAACTTTGGACCACTGCAAACTGTTTCAAATGAACTAGATCTGTTTTTCACATTTAAATAAATCAAACACGGAGCTTTTAAGTGTGATTTCTTTGGCGTGTCTTATGATAGTGACAAACTGCACAGACAGCATATTTTAAACCACCATCCTGGAACAGTGACATTTGAGAGAAACTGAAATATGAACTGCTCCTCTAATACAAGAATCACAGGCATTTCACAACATGTTTGAATCCAAAGCCCTGTGTTTCTTTGTTGAAAAGTGGGGGAAAAAATTGTTTAAACTACACACTTAACAGGTTTAAACTTCAGAATACACACAAAGCAAATACATGACGATAACGTAAGTAATTGCAGTCTTGGGATTTTGTCACCAATGATCGGATTAATCTTGCAGAGGTAAACGAAGGCCTGTCAGTCGCAACATGTTAAAACAGAATAGCCACTTATTTTTCATATTAAATAAACAATAAGGCAACATATGGCAGGCTAAATGCTGCCGCAAACGTCACCGCAACAAAGCGCAGGGCAGCTGTCGGCCCCTCATGTCACACGAGCAGAGGATTTATTTTCAATTGTACCAAAATGACCACACGACGCTGATGAATCCTAATGAATAACCGAAATATATCGTATCGTAAATGATATCGTATTGTCAAAGTTCTCACAATAATATCGTGGACCATCACAATATATCGAATTACAAGTCTCTTTGCTTAAATGAAGAGTTATGGTGCCGTAAAAGCTAAAAAACACAGAGGGAACTACATAGACCAGACATTTCAAACTCAGGCCTGGGGACCAAATTTGGCCTGCGATATAATTATATTTGGCCCGCAAGATCCTATTAAATATGTATTAAAGCTGGCCCAGATATAGAACTCTACAGCTACAGAGACATTATTTATTTAAAATGTTATAATTATTTTATATTCTGCTTGTTCTGGATTCAACTTTTTTATTATTAAACATTTATTTTAATAAGAAAAGGTTTAACATTACATATCTCGACAGAAGAGAAAACATGCACATGCCGTTAAAATGTTTCAATAAATATTTAGTTTGGCCTTAGTCCCAGTTTTTAATTTCGGGCCCTCTGTGAATTTAAGTTTGACACTCCTGACATAGACCATGATCCTTTGCTCCATTTCAGAAGAAATAACAGTTCTAAACACTTTTAAGTCTTAGTTCTTTGGATTAAATCTTGTCAAGGCATTTAAAAGGAAAAAGTAGCATATTCACAGTTTTGTTAACCTCCACAAAATATCACAATAAACATCGTACCTTGAGATGTATATCGTGAAAATATTGTACCGAGATATTTGGATATTGTTGCCATATCATGAGCTTTCCCATGATATCGCAATAAATATCGTACTGTGAGGTTCATACCATGACAATATTGTATCGTGAGACTTGGATATCGTTACACCCGTATGTATGACTGATCTGAAGAATGAAGTAAGCTCAGAGCGTTGGGTGTATTCGATGGCAGTGAAAACTAGAGCTGACTGAAGCAATGACGTCTTGAATACAGAAGTATACCGATTACTCAAACACGCATGAATCACTCAAATACAAAGTCAGAAGGTCAAATGAGAAGAAAAACAACTATGACATGATTAAACGCTCTCAAAAGTCAATTTTTTCAGAATAGATCCGCTTTAAAACACATTTACAGATAACGTTAAATACCTTCAGTTACGAAGAAACAAAGCCAAATTCACAGAACGAGACTCAAACAGAGACAGAGGATCCCTCCGAGCAGCTCCACCTGCACTCAGCGCAAAAATGCTCCACGTTTGTGTGTTTGTGCATCACTACAATGACGGATGAGTTGACCTCTGACCTGGTGACATAACATGTTTTTGCTGTGAGAATGCAGGTCAATGAACCGAGCCCACAGAGAGAGTCCACAAACTCTAAACACTGTTGTAGGTAGGGCTGGGTATCACTAAGAAGTTGCCGATACGATACATACCTCGATACACAGGCCATGATATGATACATATCTCGATACAATGCACTTTCGATTCGATACGATATATTTCAAATCGATTCGGCACAGTTCAATAAAAATAAATGCTAAATCATGGCTGTGATACTAAAAGTTTTTGTGCAAAGTTCATATGAAACACACCAATTTTAATCATAAAAACAGTGAAAGTGTCAAATGTGTCACATAAATGAGTTTCCTTCTCTGAAAAAACAACAAAACAGTAGCTCTGTAACAAAATAATTGAGTAAAATATACCAAAAAATACTCTTGGTGATATATCGATACAGCAGCTCACAATATCGATTCTGTATCATCACGTTAAGCGATACGATATATCCATATTTTGATATTTTTGCACACCCCTAGTAGTACGTCGACATGTGACTAACCCAAATGCAACAAAACAGGAACAAAATCTAAACTTATTTGTTTGAAGTTATTATTAAAGATACACTTAGTCTACGTTCAGACTGCAGCCTAAAGTGACCAAATCCAATTTTTTTGCCCTTGTGTGACCTGTATCTGAGCTTTTAATGACAGTCTGAACGACACAGATACGATTTTTTTCAAATGCGACCCAGGCCACTTGGATATGTGCTCCTAAAACCGATACATATCCGATCTTTTGACACGCGACTTCAGTCTGAACGGTCAGGTCACATTCATCCGATCCACACGTGGTGAAAGTGGGCGCTCACAAAGGTACACAAATGTTCTTCTCGCCGTACGAAAATCGTGTCTGAACTCAGTGTGAGTGAAGCAGTGAAGCAAATAACAATCCCATCACTCTTGGCTGCGACTCCACGCACACACACGTTCCTTTCTACGGACGCTGCTGCCGCTGCCCCACAAAACGCCACGACCAAAAACCTCATCCTTCTCCTTCTCAATCTTCTCCTTAAAACAAATAAACTGTGCATGTTCTGGCTCTGGTACGACAGCTACTTCACAACAAATTGCTGCGTTTTGGGCGTTTAAAGTTCACACTGGAGATCACATATAGGTCGCATTTAATTGGAAATCTGAATGACCTCGCAAAAAAGTAAGATTTCATGAAAGAATCCAAATTGAGCATTAAGCCATTAAGTCTGAACACAGTAACTTGAACCATGTTATAATGCCGTTTTCCCCTAAAAACAGACCTGGAGTTGTGTTTTGTTTCACTCACACGTCTGAGTAATCCTTTATTATTAGTCTGTCTACATCTCCAAAACTTAAAATGCTCTGTTCCACCTTGTGATGTCATGAAGTGGTAGTTTTCAAGTCAACGGCTACATTTATTTTTAGTTCAGTGGAGATGGAAAATTCCAGGTCTGAAATGATCCAAATGATTCTAGTGAAGGTGTGTGGAGATTAAAAACACACTGGAGCACTTCCTGTATTACCACGTG